ACACTCCCCCCATCTGCACCGGAAGCTTTTGCCACTCGCGCGCAGCGAGCCGCGAGCTGACATGGCGCGGCAAGCTCGGGGCCCCGGGGGGGCCCTGGAGACCGCCGAGAGGACCGCCCGACAACGCGCGAGCACGGGGGGCCGAGGAGCTCGCCAGTCGGGCTCTGCAACCTTGCCCTTCCCGCTTAAAGGAAGCCCTCCGAGACGCCCCAGCCCCTCGCGGGCATCAGAGCCCCTGGCGCCCAGCCCACTGACCGACCTCCCGCCCCAAGAGCCTGACTCCTGTGAGCTGGCCAACCGCTTGCTCGACGCGCGGGCGGCGATCGGCCCCGCGCTCGGCCGGGGCGTCGGCGATGGCCGTGGCCGCAGTGGCCTTGCGAGCCCACGCAATCACTTCACCGGAAATAACGCCGACTTCCGAGGCATGCGCCTTGACCATATGGGAGAGAAAGCCCTTCCCCCAAAACGGTGCGAAGTGGGGGCCACGCGCGGGCCCGGGCAGCGCGGGCTCCAGTGGCTATGGGGCGCGGGCGGACTGCAGCTTGGGTGCTGGTGCAGTCAGTCCATGCACCCTCAATGGTTAACGGCGACCTGGCAGAAAACGAAGCCAGCGAGGCCTCCGTTATCGCGAGCAGACTGCATGGGTGCGAACTCCCACGGGGCGCGCCCGCACGCCCCGGCGATCATAGACCCCAACTGACTCGTAGACCACAACAGTAAACTAGCCCGCCCTGCGAAGGCGCGGGCCCGCGCGGATTCAAAGCAGATCAGCCCGTGAACAGCTTCCACGGCGCATGAACATCAGGTGGCTTGCGGATCCAAGAGACATGACATTGCACAGAATGCACAGGAGGCGAGATGGCCCCTCTGGGGGAGGGGGAAGTGCCGCGCGCCCAGGAGAAACGCCGACCTCCCCGAGCGATTGCACAAGCCGCGCAACCGAACGACAAAGAGTCCGCAAGAGCATGCTTCCTGTCTGCGCCCCAGTCGGTTACGCGTAAGAGTGCCCCTAGGCAATCGGCCTTTGGCGCGCGGCTTTTCGGGGGCCAAAGGGGGGGGGGGCGGGCGCGAGCGCGCAAGGCACTGCTAACGCATCGCTCTCGGCGATCGGGGGGCCCCGCTGAGCCCGCGCCAAATGTCACTCCGGCGAAAAGTCACTCGCACGTGTAGCCCATCCAGGCGTCGCAGACAAACTGGCGGTGAAGCGTAGCCTCTGGAGCTCCTGTGCGCAGCTGGCACAAGCCACTGGAAACCAAACCGCGCCCATGGAGCTTCCTCGACGCCCTGCAGCCCTGCGCGCGCGGATCCTGCAGCCCTGCACGCGCGCGGATCCTTCCCGGCCCACTCGGTCGCCGTTGGCCCGGCAGCGCGTCGATTGTTTGCCGGCGCGCGGGCCGACGCCGCGAGGAGTATCCAGCGCGAGGCTCCAGGGCGCTAGAATCCGACATCTCCTTGGCGGCCTGCTCCGCCTGGGCAGCGACGGTGGCGGGGGAGGGCCTGCACGGGCGAATCTGCTCTCCAGTAGCTAAAGTGACCAGTCGCGCCGAGTGCGCAGTCCAGCCCAAGCCCCCGCAAGCAAGCACGCGCGCGCGCGGACGGCGCAGCCCGACTTCCAGAACGGCTTGCGCAGGCTAGCGCGCGAACGGCATCCTCACAGATGGCCTAGCGGATCGAGAATTTAGGCGCCCCGCCCCACAGGGCTCGAGACCATTGAAGAACCACATTTTTCACATGCGTAAAGCGGAACAGTGACAAACCGAGCGAGACCCCTGTTTGCGCGGGGCCCGCGACGACCTGCTGGATGGGCCTGCTGAGCCAAGGCCTAGGGGGACCCCCACAACAGCACGGCCCCGCAAAGCTCCCGCTTGAGGCCCCGCGCGCAGGACGTGGCCCATCGGGGCGCCCGCCCTAGGGGGGCCGCGGGCCTCGGGGGCCGAGAGATGCAAGCGCGGACTCTCTGGGGCGCAGCGGGGGCCGACCTACTCGAGCTCACTTGCCAATCAGTCCCGAGACTCCTGATCGCACCTTGATGCTTGAAAGCCATGCTCAACACCGCAAGAAAGGCATTCGCCAAGCTGCGGCTCGAGGCCAGCGCCTGGCACTTTTTCCGGGCAACACTAGGCGTAGGGTGCGCAGGCCGGCCACCAGCTTGCACCCAGCCGCCGCGAGCACTGAGACCACGCGGTAGCTGGTGCCCACCACCTGCGCACTGATGTCGTCGATGGCGATGCGGACGTTGACAGACGGGCGTGGCCCGCAGACGGTGGATCAGCAACCTCGCAAAATATGTGGCCATCTAACATCCAGCCAAGGTGCCCGAAGCCCGCGCGACCACTGAAGCGCGCAAGGTAGCCGAAATTGCGAAGCCCCGCGCACAACCTGAAACAAGTGGCCGCCAAAATGTTGCGGCACACCAACTCGTGGAAATATCTAATGTACGTGGCCGGCGTTGCTCTCTGGGAACCGCGCGCGCGAAGAGCACCGTCGCTTGGTGGGCCCAGCCCGCGTGGGGGCCCTCCCATTCCTTTGCTATGTCACTCCGCACCTTGCCCCGAGTCTCAAGATGTAACGCGTCGAAACAATGGGGCGCGCATCTGAGCCATGGCTCAGAAAGAACGACCTTGGCCGTAGGCCAGCGATGTAAAATAACTGGGCCCAACTCCCACACCGCCATGAGGCCAGTGAGCCTCTCCGCGAAACCATGGCCCAGCATGTCTGCAGATCGGAGGTTAATGCGGCCAACGCCCAAGCCAACGCCGCACCTAAAGGAGCGAAAAGCTTGCCTCACCTTCTCGGTCGACGGCCGAGTGGGCACCCCCATGCGAGCAATGGCTTCCTGCACCTCGGACAAATCCTGATTGGCGCCCTGGAAGGTCCGAGGCCAGCCTTTCACCGTGGCATCGACAGCGTCGCCCCCCTGCAGCGGCCAGCCCGCGCGGGCCGCGAGCACGACGTCCTGAATGAAGGCCTTGAGGAACTGGTGCGCCCAGCGGACCCCTGGCTCCACCGCAGACTTTGCCCGTTCTTGTCGCTCGCTGAGCAGCGCGCTGGCCGCGGCCGTCGATGCTGGAACATAGCATAGCTAAGTCCTCGTCTCCACGTGCCACCACGCCTCTGATGTCATAGAGAGCCGCCCCGATGGAGTCAAGGCCCACGAGCTCGCCGAGGTCGACGGCGCCCAGCTCCTCAATAAGCTGGCTGAAGACAACGCCCCTGATAGTCCCCGCGCCAGAGTCATGGAGAGGGTCGGCAGAGCCCCATAGTCCCGAGAAGGCGCCATCAAACCACGGCTCAGAGTTAGTGGGCAAGCGGGAATCCATCTGCTTGACCGAGGTCGCTGCGCCAGCTCCCTCAAGCGACCCGGCTGCGAAGACGCCCTCTCCTTCTTCCTGCTGGGCCCGCTTTGGATTGGAGGGGGGCGATGTCCGCGACCTCGCGATAGCGCCGTGGCCGACGATATTGGCCTTTCGGACCAGATCTTCGCGCGGGGCCGACTGTCTGGCGACGCCGATGGCCCGACCGACACGGTGCGTGGCCGCCCGCCCAGAAACGTCAGACTGATGGCTGGTCCTTCTCTGCGTTGCCCAGCCACTCTTGCCGGGCTGACCCTGGGCCGGCAGGCGCGATCTCGCCCGCGCGCCAAGTCCAAGCGTGCACCTGCGGCCCGTCGAGGCGCGCAATCTGCGGGGCAGCAGGATGCACACTTGCAACGTCTGGCGCGCACGACAGGCAAATCGATAGCACGCCTCTGATGTTCCTCGACATGGCCGCGCGAAGGGCAGAGGCGCGCCAGGCGAGGCCCTGGCATCCGACGCGCAACTCGCAAGGACCGCGCCAACGGTAAACTTAATCTGGCCGACGCAGAGCGCTCGGAGCCGACGGGGGCAGTGACAGCGGCCTTGAGCATCTCAACCCATTGATGACTTCGCACATCATCGGGCTCCGCGGCGAATTTGCATTCGAGAACTCGCGGAATCATTGCGCGCCTCAGCGCGGCGCCCATCTCGTCCATCATGTGCCGCGCGACAAAATTGTTTGCGGTGCCCACGCGAAGATGTAGATGCCCATCGGGGCCATATGACGTGGGCCGCGATCGCCCCGAGGCGCGGGCTGGAGTTAACCGAGACATCGAGCTTGCGGATGCCAGCGCCAGCGAACGCCATGTGCAACGCGACCGCCGCCCACGCCCCAGCCGAGAACCCGGCGGCCGACGCCCTCGCGCTGCGCGCCGGCCCCGGATGAAGTCCAGCAAGTGACGACGCTGAGCCTCCGCGGCCCGGGGGGCGCGCCGGGCCCGCGTTCTGCCTCGGCGCGGCAAACCCAATTTGACAGCGGAAAAAGAACCATGGCGTCGCGGCCCCCGGGGGGCCAATGGGCACCCCAGGGCCGCGCTCGGACATCGCTCGGCGCCCCTGCTCCAGCTGCCAATGGCGACGCCGAGGACGCGAGACCCCGGGGGGCACCTCGCGCAAGCGTTCGGACAAGGGGGCGCCGCGCCCGTAGGCCGCGCGGCCGGCGGGGGCCACGCGCGGCGCGAGCAGCGCGCCGGCGCGCTCCCTCTTGTCTCCGGAGGTCCTGACGGGCCCACTCCCATCAGCTGGCACCTCCCGCGAAATTCACGAGCGGCGCCGACAACGATTTCCGCGCTCCAGCAGGTATGCGCTAAGGATGACTGTCTCTGCCCTCGCTCGTTCGCGAACTCCTTCACAATGGGCTACGGCGGATTGGCAGCAGACGAGGACGCGACGCCTCCCGCATCAAGGTGCGCCAGCGGTGGGCCCGCGGGGGAAGCCCCCGACCCCGTCGGGGCCAGCGGGCCCCGCGCTGCCCGCCATAAATACAAACGGAGCTGATCCCGACCTCGTGCAAGCCGAACTCGAAGCCGCCGACGAAGCCCGGCTCGAGGACGCGGCGGGGGCCCACCGTCTCGCCGTGGCCCGCGCCCACACACCGCCATGTATCGCCCCGAGAAAGAGACCGCCAGGTCGCGCAGCGTGGCG